ACACACACACACACACACACACACACACATACACACACACACACACGTGTTTATGTGTACATATGTGTGTATATATTCTGTAGTTGATATATGACAAAGAACAACTTGAAGGAATTGGCTCTGTCTTTCTACCATGTGGGCCCTGGGGATTAAGCTCATATCTTCAAGCTTGACAGCAAGCACCTTTATTTTCTGAGCCATCTTAGCCGCCCACGATGTACTTCTTTTTCTTCTTCTTTTTTTGTATTTCTTTTTGTTTTTGTTTGTTTGAGACAGGGTTTCTCTTTATAATAGCCCTGGCTGTCCTGGAACTCTCTTTGTAGACCAGACTGGTCTCGAACTCAGAGAGATCCGCCTGCCTCTGTTTCCCAAGTGCAGGAGGCCACCACTCCTGGCCCCTGGCCCCACAATGTCCTTCTTTTCTTCTTTTTTTTCTTTTTTGTTGTTGTTTTATATTTAAGATCTTAGTAGCCATTGAATACATTTAAGGTCTCTCTAGTTTCTTTTTTTCTGTGGTGAGAATACTTAAATCAGCCAAGGCCTGATACTGCATCCTGCCTATGATCGCAGTGTTTGGCACACAGAATCAGGAGGATGAGGAGTTTGGGACTAGCCTGGCTTACAAGAGACTTGTCTCGACAAACCAACTTGGAAGACCATCAAAATGGCTCATCAGGCAAAGGCACTTGAGGCCAATCCTAATGACTTGAGTTTGACCCCAGAACCTGTGTGGTGGGAGGAGATGGCCAACTTCCTTCGCCCTCTACATATGTATGTGCACACACCCGTACAAGCACAAATAACAAAATAACGATAAACATTTTAAAAATCCAACTGAAGATGATCTAAGCCATCTGGTGAGGTCTGAGCTGCAGTCCTTTCTTTGTGTTTTCTGGAAGTCCTTTCAGTTGGCTTTCCCACCTCTTCCTCCAGGAGTATGCAGGGGACGGACTGAGGACCCTGGTGCTGGCCTACAAAGACCTGGAGGAAGACTACTATGAGGAATGGGCCAGGAGGCGCCTACAGGCCAGCCTGGCCCAAGACAGCCGAGAGGACCGGCTGGCCAGCATCTATGAAGAGGTTGAGAGTGACATGATGGTATGAGAGGGCCGGACAGGCTGAGGGTGGAGAAGATGGTGGGGAGCCCACAGCTCTCCTCAGAAGCCCTGTGCTCTTTCCAGCTGCTGGGTGCCACGGCCATCGAGGACAAACTTCAGCAGGGAGTCCCGGAGACCATCGCCCTCCTGACTCTGGCCAACATTAAGATTTGGGTCCTCACTGGAGATAAGCAAGGTGAGGGTGCCTGGCGGGGCGGAATCAGCCGAGGACGGACACACGAGTACCGCCGTGCCTGTGTGGAGATGGACCACCAGTGGGAAGCACGCTGACCCTGGGCCTTGCCCGCCCCCCTGCCCGCCTGCAGCACCTCGGTCTTCTCTTGGCAGAGACCGCTGTGAACATTGGCTACTCCTGCAAGATGCTGACCGATGACATGACAGAGGTGTTCATAGTCACAGGCCACACTGTGCTGGAGGTGCGAGAGGAGCTGAGGTAAACGAGGGGCTGGGGGTGCAGATGCCCTGAGCCGGGCCCGGGGACTGGCAGGCTTCAGTTGTCCTCTCTGCCACTGTCCTGGAGCCCCCCACAGTTTCAATCCTGCCTTCACAGGAAAGCCCGGGAGAAGATGGTGGACGCGTCCCACACGGTGGGCAATGGCTTCACCTACCAGGGGAAACTCTCTTCTTCCAAGCTCACTTCTGTCCTGGAGGCTGTTGCTGGGGAGTACGCCCTGGTCATCAACGGGCACAGCCTGGTAAGGCTGGCCGTCTCTAGCAGGCGGGAGCATGCTCAGACCTTGTGGAGTGCTTGCCCAGAGCTCTTCTGTTCCTTGGCAGAGAAGGCCGTGAACACTGTTTATGCCTTCTCCCAGTATTGCCTTGGAATCTTACCTTGCTCTCAACTTCCCTTGACTTGAGAGAGGGAGGGTTCTGATCACAAGGGACCCGAAGAACCGAGGTGTTTCCTGGGAAGACTGGGACTGCCATGTTTCTCCGTGTTTCAGGCCCATGCCTTGGAGGCTGACATGGAGCTAGAGTTTCTGGAGACAGCATGTGCTTGCAAAGCTGTCATCTGCTGCCGGGTGACGCCCTTGCAGAAGGCACAGGTGGTGGAACTGGTTAAGAAGTACAAGAAGGCCGTGACACTCGCCATTGGGGACGGTGCCAATGATGTCAGCATGATTAAAAGTGAGTGTGGGCTGTGCGCATGCGTGGCCTGGGCAGGGGGTGGGGCTGCAGTAGTGAGGTCTCAGGGCCAGGGAAGAGTGAGTGGGTAACCGGGTGGGAGGCGTGAGGGGCTGTAACTGGTGGGATCTGAAGTATGTGGTCATTCTTCGTGTCATCTTTTGTCTCTGCAGCTGCTCACATTGGTGTGGGCATCAGCGGGCAGGAAGGGATCCAGGCCGTCCTGGCGTCCGATTATTCCTTTTCACAGTTCAAGTTCCTGCAGCGCCTCCTGCTGGTGCACGGGCGCTGGTCCTATCTGCGCATGTGCAAGTTCCTCTGCTATTTCTTCTATAAGAACTTTGCGTTCACCATGGTCCACTTCTGGTTTGGCTTCTTCTGTGGCTTCTCGGCCCAGGTAGCAAGTGTTTCTAGACCTCTCTGCTGCACCTCTAGAAGTTCTGTAAGGGAGGCTTTAGTGAGACTTCCTGAAGGCTTGAGTTCGGATCCCCAGAACCTGTGTAGAAGCCCGATGCAGCAGTGTGAGCCACTGTGCCTATCGGAAGTGGGAGTTGGAGAGGACAGAATCTCTAGAAGCTTGTGGGCCAGCTAGCGTGGCTTACACAGTGGCAGAGGCTGTGTTTCAAACGAGGCAGAAAGCTGAGGACTGACGCCCACTGGTGGTTCTCTGATCTTCCCGCACACCATAGTGCACATGTCTCCCAAACAAGTCTCTCTTACACACACGATGAGTAAATAAATGCCCAAGAGCAGACGTTATGTCTGTCCTGTTAATCGACCCATTGTTTAGTACATGCATTTAGTGAATGTTGGCTTTTCTTTTCCTTCCTTTTTTTGGGGGGTGTGGGGGTGGGAGGCATTGTTTCATGTAATACAGGCTGATCCTCTTATTTACTGTGTAGCACTGGTTGGCCTTGAATTCTGAATCTGGGCATGGTGTGTACACTTATAATCCAAACACTCCGTAGGTGGAGACAGAAGGGTTGAAAGTTTGAGGTCAACTTGGGCAACATAGTGAGTTCCATGTCAGCTTGAACTACATAGGAAACCCTGTCTCAAAATACACAACCTAAAAAGGAAGCGTTCATTGGGAGAGTGGAGATCTTAGGACCTGAGGAAGGTTCTTAGGGCGTCTTGATGGTGCGGCGTTGTCTTTCTGTGCCTGATTCCTGGAGGAGGTTGGTTGCTCACTCTCCTGCCCCGTTCTCTTCCAGACCGTGTATGACCAGTATTTCATCACCCTGTATAACATCGTGTACACTTCGCTCCCAGTCCTGGCCATGGGGGTCTTTGACCAGGTATGGGGGAGGTCAGTGGTCAGGCTGGAAGGAGAGAACTGCCTTGAACTGTGGTCTGATATGGCCGGTGGGGGACAGTGCCCCACTCCAGGGGACACTTCCCGATGGGGAGGGAGGAGGACTCTTTCCATCTTGGAGGGAACCTGTCATTCCCATGGGTTGCTGAACACAGATCGATTGGGAGAATCTGGCTTAAGCCTGGACCTGTTATCTAAGATGTTAGGAAGGGGGAGCCAGGGGGAGCATCTGTCTGCCCTTGACTGGAGAGCATTAATGTGGCAGCTTCTGGGGCCCTTCCCTCACAGGATGTCCCGGAGCAGCGAAGCATGGAGTACCCTAAACTGTACGAGCCAGGCCAGTTGAACCTCCTGTTCAACAAGCGAGAGTTCTTCATCTGCATTGCCCAGGGCATCTACACCTCTGTGCTCATGTTCTTCATTCCCTATGGGGTGTTTGCAGAGGCCACTCGGGACGACGGCACCCAGCTGGCAGACTACCAGTCCTTTGCAGTCACTGTGGCCACATCGCTGGTCATTGTGGTCAGTGTGCAGGTATGAGGCCATCCCTCGGGAAGGAGGGAGCCCTCCATCCCTAGGGCTACCCTCAGCACCACATCTCTGTTTCTGATGGGTAGGATATTTTGGGGTACTCCTACCTGCGATAACTCCTTTTTGCAGATCGGGCTGGACACAGGCTATTGGACAGCCATCAACCACTTCTTCATCTGGGGCAGCCTCGCTGTTTACTTTGCCATCCTCTTTGCCATGCACAGCAATGGGCTCTTTGACATGTTTCCAAACCAGTTCCGGTTTGTGGGTAAGTACCCGTGGCATCCTTTTTAATCAGTGATGAATCCTACCTGGTCTAGGAATGGCAGGGAAGACAGCCAGCACTTACCAGTACTTTACATGCCAGGTCCATTGCAAGGTACAATGTAGTATCAAGGGGTGGTTGACCCAGGCCCTGCTGCCAAGGAGCGTCTATGTCCATGAGAGCGATGAACAGAACTCCAAGGAAGTCGGGGTGGCAGGCTTCATGGTCAGCAGAGTGCCAATGGGGATGGCCAGGGATAGTCCTGTAGATGAGACTGCTGTTAGTGAGCAGAGCGAGGAGTGTGAAGGTACCACTTGGCTCTTGAAGAGCTAGGGTGGGGTCGGAAGCCTGGGGAAGCCCAGGGAGGCAAGGCTGAGAGTGAGCTTCACTCTGCCTGGCCTGAAGTCTTCATTTACTTTGGCATCAAAAGGTCTTTTTGTTTGTTACTTGTTTGTTTTATTCTTTCCAAAAGATGGCTTTAGAAAATATGTAGGCTGGCACATGCCTCTAATTCCAGCACCTGAGAGGTGGAGGCAGGCGGATCAGGAGTTCAGGGTCCTCCTCTGCTGCATAGCAAGTTTCAGAATAGCCTGAACTACGTGAAAGCCTGTCTCAAAAAAGAAAAAGGTGTGTGTGTGTAGAAAAGAGGAACATAGGCTTGAGGCTATAACTCAGCAGAATGCCTGCCTAACTAACATGCACAAAGGCCTTGTTCCATTGGAGGGTTTGAGCAGGAAGTACATAGACCAATTTCTGTTTTTAAAGAGTCATTGTTAACCGTATTTGGATGATAAAGTAGAGGCGTACAGGTAGAAACAGACCAGGGAGGACCTGTCAGTAATCTAAATAGGGCTGATGGGGTCTAGGAATTCAGTGCATGTGGGAGTCTTTAGATATCTGGGAAATGGAGCCAGCAGGTCAGGCTGTGAGTGACGAAGAGAGGGGGGTAGATGGGCGTTGCAGTTTTCGCCTGGATGGATGTGAGTACGTCCCTAGACGGAAAAGGCACAGCGCAGGCTTGGGGTAGAGGAGAAGACAGTCCATTGCTTGGGCCATGTTAGCCTAGAGATAACTTCACTAAGGTGGTCGAGGAAACAAATCTGCATGCAGTTTGGGGAGGGTTGGAGACCGGGGACAGAATTCGAGATAAGCACAGAAAAAAAAGGGGAAGTCAAAGGTGGCTTTGAGGTTGAGGACATGGAACCACCAGAAATAACAGCAGGGAAGTGAGAAGTGTCAACCTCGTGACTCCTGTCCCCCAGGGAATGCCCAGAACACCCTGGCCCAGCCCACCGTGTGGCTCACCATCGTGCTGACCACGGCTGTCTGCATCATGCCTGTGGTCGCCTTCCGCTTCCTCAGGCTTAGCCTGAAGCCGGATCTCTCTGACACGGTGAGAAGCCTGGCAAAGCTGGCCAGAGGCCTTGGGGGGCAGCCGCAATGTGACAGGAAAAGCCTCTCTTGCTTGGGTGCTATGGAGCTGTGTCTGGGCTGCGGGACTCGGGGGGCTGATGCCGCACAGGGCTACGGAAGTTCCCGTGACGATCCGCGGTGGTGCTCAGGGCCCCCCTGCACATGGCGGTGCCTGATGTTGTGAGCAGACGCTGAAGGACGACCCCTCTTCCCTGTCCCCCTCCTCAGGTCCGCTACACCCAGCTGGTAAGGAAGAAGCAGAAGGCCCAGCACCGCTGCATGCGGCGAGTGGGCCGCTCCGGCTCGCGGCGCTCCGGCTACGCCTTCTCCCACCAGGAAGGCTTTGGGGAGCTCATTATGTCCGGCAAGAACATGCGCCTGAGCTCCCTGGCCCTCTCCAGCTTTAGCACGCGCTCCAGCTCCAGCTGGATCGAGAGCCTGCGCCGGAAGAAGAGCGACAGCACCAGCAGCCCGGGGGGCGGGGCCGAGAAGCCCCTCAAGGGCTGAAGACCCCGGCCTGGGACCCCCTGTGTCGGGGACCCGAGCTCACCGGGCCGGTGTCTGGGAACGGCTGGTCCTCCTCCTCCCTGCAGCCCGCCTCCTCTGCCTGACGGACTGCCCTGCGGGTCTCACCAGTTTATCCAAGTGGAGGGACCCCGGGGGCAGAGCAGGGGTTCGGGCCTTGGATAGCGGCCGCCGTGAGGGACCAGCTGTGGAACCAAAAAACATGAAAAACTTAAAGAGATTGGGTCCACCCCTGTCCTGCGTGGGGTCCACAGGGAGACTGAAATCTCCATATTTTTTTACTCCTGTTCCCCCAGAGGGGCCCTTGTGCCCCTGTTCCTGAATTACACAAGAATGTATCACGCCGGGAAGCCAGAGACCTGCTGGGCCTCCGAGCCCCTCACGCCATTCGTGTGTCCTCTTGGTTTGTGTTTGTGTCGTTTGGTTCTTGTCTTTTTTTTTATTTGGTAAGTGGAGGAGGCCTTCATGTGACTTTATGTTATGGTTAATGTCTCGACTCTTCTGGGAAGAGGAGACTGGCACACACTGGGATGCCCTACCTGGTGGGGTGGCTTGGCAGGGGCCGCAGCTCATGGGTCACCTTTAGGGTGCCATTGTCCTTGTGGGATACAGGAGCTACCAGATAGGGAAGAACTGTCAGCCAGAGGAGGATGTCGGGAGAATGGAAAGGAAGAGTGTCCTGGCTCCTTCCTCCCCTGTGCTGTGGCCTCCCCGGGGCACGTGTGAGTTCTTGGATTACCTAAGTCCTGCTGGTGCTGGGCTGCAGCCCAGAGAGTGGCCCCCTCGTTCTCAGTGAGCTAAAGCTGAGTATGAAATGTAGTACTGAGGCGGGGGAAGTAGTTTTCTGGGGTTCCAAATCGAGTCCCCGATTCCTTAGCATACTTGCTTCCAATTTCCCTTCCTCCCCTCCTTATCCGGTGCTTTTTCTACCTACCCTGGGGTGGGACTGAAAAGGGAAGCTGGCTTCTGCTGCTTTGTCCCAGTAACCATACCCTCCGGTCGGAGTGGTGGGTGGTGGATAAACCTGTCCAGCCAGGAGACCACTTGCCTGGTCTGGACAGAACCCCTTCGACCCTCTTCCCAGCCTGGCTCCCATGTCAGGGACTTCCTGAGTTAGTTGCTGCCTTGTCGGCTTCCAGAAGAACCCCTTGTTTGCAGAGTAAGGGGGGAGGGATGGTGTGGAGCTGGGAGTGGGGAACAAAAATCTCAATGTTCCATGCAGGAGCCCCAAAGGAGCTGGAGGTAGTTTGCATTGAAATGGGGCTGCCTGGGTGGGCAGTAGGAAGAGGAAGTCTTGACAGGGGAATCCCTTTCGGCCACACAGTTTACAAGCCCAGAACCATGTCTGTTTGTGTGTCTCTTAAGGGGAAAGTCTGATTTTTATACCAAAGAGGAAATGATTTTTTTTTGTATTTGGTTTGTCTATATTATATAAATGCATATATATATATATATAGCTATATATATATTATTTTTTTTGTTCTCTCTCATTTTTTTAGGGAGGGAGGAAAGTACCACGTTGCATTGAGCTGTAATTAAGGAACATTCTGTATAATTTATGACATTTCTATAATTGCAAAAATTATATCATTTTATGGATATAAAAGAAAAATACCTTTTTATAAAATTCCAATTTCTGAGAGGTGGGTAATTTGTCTCATTTTTGATGTTTACGTAAGACTGAGGGTAAAGCACAAGCAGAAACTCTCCAGTGGGATTTTGAGGGTGGCTCTGGGTGGAAGCTGAGCCTGGGGGCACCGCTCTACACACTGCTGTACCTTGAGTTTCAGTAGGACTGTGGGCAGTGCCAGGACACACACATGGACTTTGTGTTCAGCTAGTGGCCACATGATGCTCAGGACCTTGACTTATGGCTGTTCTGAAAGTAGGCCAGCTTAGTCCATGTCCACGACAGATACGCATGCAGGTAAGTGCATGTGGAAAAGTACCTGGTAACCATTTGAAGGTTGTTTTACTTACCAGTACCAGGGATGACTGAACCTAGGGTCTGAGCATGATAGAGAGATTAAAACAAATTTTGTGTGTGCACATACCCCTATGAATTCAGGGGCCTGAGAGGAGGCAGAGAGGTTGGATACTGTGGGGCTGGAGTTACCGGTGGTTGTGAGCTGCCCAATGTGGGTTCAGGGAACTGAAAGCCGGTCCTCTGGGAGAGCTGCAGTAGTGCTGTGAACCACTGAGCCACCTCTCCAGCCCCTGGCTCTTGGCACTCGCCGCCCGCTCTTCCTCCATGTTCCCGAGACTTATAAAGCGGGTGATGTAGATGTCCTCTTTAGACCAATCCACCTGTCTGTCACTTACTCTTGGTCCTTTGGCTAGTTATGAGTTTCTGTATTAACCACCACCTTAAACAGAAACACCACCAGGATCTCGTGTACCCTGGGCTGGCCTCCAGCTCACTCCACAGCCACAGGTGATCTTGAATGCTGTCCTTCCTCCACTTCCCCAGTGCAAAAATCACAGGCCGAACCATGGTGGCATTTCTGTGGTGTTGGGAATTAACGCAGGGCTTGGTGCATGCCAGGCAAGGTGGTCAACTGAGCTACATCCACATCCTCCAACCTCCCTTTTTATATTTTAAAGCCTTCTGTTTTGTGATGGATAGAATCTCACCAAGTTGTCTACATAAGCCCTGAATTTGCTCTACAGCTCAGGTCAGTCTTGAGCTGTCACCCTTCCTGCCTCAGCCTCTGAGTAGCTGGGATTGTAGGCATTCATGTGCTCAAGGATTTTTATTTTTAATCTCCTCTTGCTTCTTTCCCTCTGAGAGCATCCTCATAATCTCACGGTTAACTGGTTTCTGAAGTATCAGTGAGCCCAACCAAGCATTGTCGACCATGACTTCAGACTGACCAGGCCAGGATGTTGGGCACCCTCAGCATGGCGAGCTAACCTGCCCCTGGGCTGAGTTGACCCCCTGTGTAACCTGTCTGTGCTCTGAGGCAGGGCTTCCTTCCCCTCAGGAATTCCAAGCAGACGCTAAGCTCAGAGGGAAGACATGAAGAGCAGTGTCCTTCAAGAGGGGAAAGAAAGAAGGCTTAGGCAGGAGGATTGCCTTGAGTTAGAGACCAGGCTTGGCAATATAGCAAGACTCTGTTACACAGCAATAGTCCAGGGCAAGAAGAGGATCATGAACGTGGGGACAGCCTGGGTGGTTTGTCTTAGATGGGCTCTCGTGAAGACCAGGCTGTCCTAGAACTCTCGGATATCTACCTGCCTCTGCCCCCTCAGTGCCTCCTCCAATGGGAAGAGCCTACCCAGCCTGCAGCAGCCCCAGAGCTTTAGGCAGCACAGGGCATCTGGCCTTGTTCCCTCCACCTCTGTGGAGTTTTACCTCCCCCAAAGGCTAATTCTCTTTCCACGGCCAATGGGCCCTCAGCTCCACCTGTTCTTCCTGTCCCTTGAGTTCTCTTCCCAGACCCCTGGTGAGGTTTTCCAGGACAGAGGGGGGTTAGTCAGCCACAGAGAGTCCCGCTCCCTTTGTTTTCCTTTTGGTGAGAGTGTTTCTTGTTGTGTAGCCCAGGCTGGTCTTAAACTCCTGGTGACCCTTCCATCCCAGCTTCCCAAATGCTGGGGTTACAGGCACAAGCCACCAAACCTTTTTGTTTATTGAGATGGATTCTTACAGTGGAGCCTAGGCTGCCCTGGAACTCCCTGAACAGACCAGAGTGACCTTGAACTTGTAGGAGTCCTGGCTCCAGCTGGTACAGGTGTGTACCTCCACACCTGGTCCAGATGTTTTCCTTCTTCTGTGTGAGTATGCACCCCGTGAGATGGCCTCCATGCCAATGCTGCTTTCTCTCCTTGCCTTAGCCGCACCTTGGTCTCCAGGCCCCTTGTGGAAGTTGATAGCACTGGGGCCTTAATTGCCCTCTGACCTGCCATGGTCCCAGAGCCCACAGTGACTGTGGACACCACCTTTGTCTGATGTCCACACTGTTCTTCCGTGACAGCTGTATTATTATTATTTTTATTATCTTATGTGTATATGTTTTTGAGATAGGGTCTTACTCTGTAGCCCAGGCTGGCCTCTTTGATACTGAGAACATTCATCTCAAGTAAATGATCAAATGCTCACCCCTAGGCACCCTACTGTGTTCTAGGATGGTTCTATCTCTGAAATTTCAGTCTCGAATGTGAGTATCTGGATCCTTTGGTTGTTTCACCTGTCACTGCTGTTCCTAGCATATACTACGACAGTCCCTTTCTCCAAGCACTTCCTTTCATCCCATTGTATCCTTATATCATATATAAGGATTATATATATATATATATATACATGCACCATGTGGTGAATGCACATTAGTACTTATGCATAAAGTCACGGCAAGACTTCGGGTGTCTTCCTCTATTGCTCTGTACTCTCTCGAGACCGGGTCTCTCACCGACCCAACCCAGAGACTTGCCGTTTCAGCTGGGCTGCTGGACAGGGAGCTCTCAGGATCTGTCTCTCTCTTCCCTCGCCCGCGCTGAGTCAGCAGACGCTTGCAGGCTGCAGCTTCTTCTGTGGTTGCTGGCGATATAAACTCATGTCCTTGTGCTGGCAGAAAAGCTCCTCCCCAACCAGCCATCTCCCCAGGTCTCCTTTATCTTGGCTGTGTTGCCTCAAGGGCTCTAGAGTTCCTCCTCCTTCAGTTATTTGTGTACCTCCACACTCTTACTTTTCTCCGAGTCCTTTCTCGCTTTCCAGTCCAGCTTCCAAGCGGTGCCTGAGCCACGTGAAAGGAGAGCCACACATCACGAGGGGAGAGGAGCCCAGAGCCCGTGCTCCTGGGGTGGGCTTCCCGTTCATCAGGCCTTCAGCACCGTGAGATCCAGTCTCCGTCCTCTCCCATCGCCCCTCCTCCCCGCCATGCTTCCCATCCCCCCCTCAGCACCTGGTCTGTCCTGTCTCAGACGTTGTTACAATTCCTGCACCACTATCTCAGTGATACGGACCCACTAACACATTTCCGCCCGAAAGATGGGGCCATTCATTCAATGTATGCGGCTTAAGTTTTTTGTCTGCTTGATAGAAGCTTGGGACATTTGGAAAGAGGGAACCTGAACTGAGAAAATGCCTCTATCAGACTGGCCTGTGGGCAGGCCAATGGGCTTTTTCTTGATTAATGGTTCATGTGGGAGGGTCTATACCACAGCGGGCCGTGGTCTTGGGCTGTATGAAAAAAGCAGACCACTGAGCACACCCTGGGGAGCAAGCCAGTCAGTAGGGTCCTCCATTGTCTCTGCTTTAGCCCCACCTTGAGTTCCTGTCCTGACTTCCCCCAAGGATGAACCGTGATAAGGAAGTGTAAACCAAATAAACCCTCTCCTCCCCAAGGTGCTTTTGGTCCTGGTGTTTATCACAGAGACAGAAAGATAATGAGAGGACAGTTGAGATGCAAATGAAGTTCTCAAAGCCAGGCGGGGTGGCTCGAACCAGCTCTCCCACTGTGAGTGGGACCAGCCTGGGCTATATATATTATAACGAGACTGTCTTAAACCAAGAAACATTACTAACCAGTTAGAAGGACTTGCCACACCACCTTTTGCAAGAGAACAGACTGGAGCATCCAGGCTAGCCAGGCAGGCAGCCACAGCACACCACCGTTGCCACCAAGTAGGGCACACAGGAGGGAGTCCCAGGGGAGGAATCAAGACTGTAGACTTCGCTCTCCCGCCTAGAGGGAGCTAGGGGAAGGGAGATGCAGAATTCTCCCTCGCTACTTCTGTTCTGGAAACTATCTGCACTTGTGTTACTCAGTGGCCGAGTCTGAGTTTTCAGATTTGCACCACGAGGCTGAGGTGAGGGAGACTGGCTATGGCCAGCAATGAAGTGTCCAGTGCCCTCAGTAGACCCTCCTCTGACTCACCTTGTGAGACTGCGCTCTAAGTGAGGACATGGACTTGTCTGACCCTCCCTTCCTCCCAAATCCTGAAACTTTCCAGTTCACACAGTTGCCAGGAGCTGCCCTGCCCTGCAGCCGGGGAGGGGCAGCCCTGTTCTCCCTGGCTGAGGGAGCCTGCTGGGTGCAGGGCACCGGGCCTGGTCGCGTCAGGCCCCGGGTTTGATCCTTGGACCATGAAATAACAGCAAAAAAAAAAAAAAAAAAAAAAAAAAGTGGCGGGGTTTCTTCTGCAAGGAGGATGTTGGGGGGGGGGGAGCATGGTCAGTTTCTAATTCCAAGAGTTGGGAGCTTGAAGGGAGGAGGATCAGAAAGTTCAGGGCTAGCCTCCACTACATAGTGAGTATAGAGTTCTGTCAGCATAGCTTGCATGAGGATCTGTCTCAAAACAATTAAAAAACAAACCTACAAACTAAACAAAAGTGTGTGTGTGTGTGTGTGTGTGTGTGTGTGTGTGTGTGTGTGTGTAAGAGCTGAGAGCCGGGTTTAGGGGAGGGGTGTGCATTTGCAGTGCAGCTCAGGAGTAGACCTAGTTTGAGCTGGGTCCTAGGTTCCATCCCCAACACCACAAATGCCAGCAAAAATGTGTTTGTGGGTGGAGAACAAGAGTTTCCCTTGGACTAGGAGATCCTCAAGTTTGCAGGCTGGATATGCTGTAGTCTTTCAGTCTCCCACTGGGCCAGGCCTGGGAGGCTTCAGCCATCTTGGCAGAGACCTCTCTTTCGTCTCCCAGG